ATTGCCTGTACTGTCCTAAGAGAGCTCAGCAGTGCAATTGTTGTGCATGGGTGGGTGTTCCTACCAGGATCCCTGGAAGGACTTTCCCCTCACCTTGGGGCCAAGGTCAGGAATAATCAACTATGGAACAGCAGCTGGTATTTAGAGGAAATGGTGAGGCAGGGAGCACTTAACCATCTCCACTCCTCTCCACAGGCTGATGGTGTTTGCAGAAGGGAGAAACTGGACTAGAATGATGAACGTCACAGAAAAACACTCTGGAGGCAGAGTGTGCTAGGGAAGTAACTTAAAGCTTTCAACTAAAATTTTAGTGTCAGGTTCCAGCTTCTAGTATTCGCCCTAACAATTAAACATTTCTCAAGATTTCAGACAAATCACTTGACAGTGAGGTAAAATGCTTAAAATACAAATTAAATCCTCTGTATTCATGTCAGACTTGTCTGTGAACTAATAATTTTCAAAAACCTGTTCTAATGTGACTTAAATCTGGTATTAGGCAAGCATTCCCATCCAGCTCCTCCTGTGAGGTGAATTTAGCTTTGGCTTTACCCTAAATGAGGCTACTAGAAGGATGGAGCAGTGAAGTGCTCTAGGTAGGTGGTGGTGTTCCACAGCATTGTCCCTCTTTTCTCAAATTTCCTCTCATTTACAACTGAGTATGCAGTTCCCTTCTAGACTTTGAAATTCACATTTCTTCTAGAAAATACCTCCCTTGTCCTCAAGACTACATGTTTCTTTTGGACGGTGTATTTTATATCACAGGATTTCCTCTTAGTGTAGATTTCCAGAATGTAGGAAAAGTGTTTTATCATTCAGGGTTGGAAATTTGTAAGTTGAGTGTATGGAGACTCTTAGAAAATACCTTTTGGAAGATAATGGGATAGAAGGAGAGGTAAGAGAAAGAGGTAGAAGCAATTTCTGGATACAACCTTTTTCTAGGTTTTGTTTTTTGTGAGGGTTGGGAAGCAAGCTGGCTTTTATCGGCAGCGTTCTGACCTGGATTATCAGGAGGGATTAGGCTTTGCTGTTTTGTGGTGTTAGACTTGATGAAACACTGCATGGAAAGTCATGGAGCAGGTGGAGAATGGTGCTAATCCTTCTTGCCATAATGGTTTATATGACACTGAGTATGTAAAAAGCAGAGAGATTGGTAGTAGAGTGTCAGAAATGCAGCATTTCCACTGGTCTAAGATAGAGCTTTAATCCAAAAGGCTGCTTCACACATGTTTTTTCCAGCCTTTTGAAATTTTCACATGCCTAAGATATTTCTGCACTGGTGACAATGCATTGCTTTGCCCTCATTGATGCAGGAGTGTGAGTAATCTGCTGGGGAGCCATATGGTTCACATTTATTTTCATGTGTCTTTGACATCAGGAGAATAGCTGAGACAGCAGAAGAAAGTGCTTATGTCTTGGAGTTCAGCCAGAACTGAGATCATTTAAGTTTCGTAATCAAAGAACTACCACTTTTCTGGGTAAAAAATGTTAGAAAAACATGATGAGCTTAAAATGTCTTTCCTATCAGGATAGTATAAAAATAGGAAGCAGATTTTGCATTTGATGGATGAACACAGCTTCAGCGGATGATTTTCTTAGGGGAAGGTCTGGATTCTTTTTCAGAAGGAGGGGCTGCATCTTCCACAGGTTTCACACTGCTGTAGCTCCAGCGCCCAGCTTGGAAAATTAGGATGTTGAAAGGCAAATGGACAGTGCTGCTGCATAGTGCCTTGGACATACGAGAGCAAATCAGGAAAGCTTTGCTTCAGTCTGCCAGCATATTACTGCTCTTGCTTACCTATTGCATCAGTTATAATTTATTCATATACAAATCAAACTTGGGTGATTCTTTTAAGCATAGGTTGGATTGCTAGTGGAAATACTGATTTTTTCCCTTTAGAAAACTACTATTCATGGGATTTGGGAGTTGGATGGGCCAATGATCTGTTACCAAGATATAAGAAATAAATGATGACTAAGTATGATAAAACCTGAACTTTTCAGATTTTCAGTAAATTTTGCTGGGGTGTATTCATGCTTTCTAACAGATCAGAACATAAGTATTTTGCGTGGTCTTCTGCTCTGTCTTGAGTTTAAACAGTGTCCGTAGCAGTGATTCCAGCAGATTTAACATACTGTGTAAGGTACAGTGCATGCAAAATAACAAGTGCCCCAGACTCTTGATAAGATGGTAGTTCTGTTTTGGTTGGTTTGAAGCAAAGGGTTCGAATCAGTTGTTTTTCAATTCAAAGTGTAATAGTATTTTGGAGCTCGCATCAAGGCAGCATAGTGTAAAAGCTCATTCATGGTATCTTGTTTTTATCAGAGATGACTTTTTTTTTCCATCTGGGGGTAACTAGCTTACAGACTCTTCTGCTTAGCTTCATTTAGCTATTGTTAGTGTGTAGTGTGTGAATGAAACCTAAGGGTCATTATTTATGTTTAGCCATTAGTATTAAAGTAGTATCTCTACCGTAAAGAGATTGAGACTTGAAAAAAGAGAAGTGCTTTTGTTGCAGCATTTGTCATTCCTGCCAGTAAAGCAGCCCTGTCAGGAGTTCCACAGCTAAGATCTAAACCAGATTACTATCAACACAGACCTTGTGTCACAGATACTCAGGTTTACAGATGAGGATTCAAAGGTTTGTGTGATGCTCTAATTTGTGAGATTTACAGGTGCAGTTACCTTCAATTTCTTCATTAAATATATGTGTATATATGTATTTTTTTTTTTCAAGAGCCGGTTTCCTTTTCTTTCCTTAAGTATTTTGCAATAGTTTTATATTTCATTTGTGACTGGTTCATTTATTTGGCAAAAAAGCTGCCTGCCTTTCAGTAGCTGCCACTATTCTGAAATAGTGGCATCATGCAGTTGAGATCCAAATAACATTGATACTGATATCAGAAATTGGATACACCCCTGAATGGTTTAGATACCTCATTCAGCAGAAAAAGGTTTTTTTAAATATGCACTCTCTTATGTATTAGAGCATATTGGCAGTGCAGGTTCTGATTTAGAGTATTTGCTTTTATGTTACATTGAAAGAGAATGGCTCAGTATAAAAATTACCCATCTTACGAATGCTAAAAAACTGATTTTATTAAAGGTAGTTTTGCTTTGGAGCTGTGGTATATATGAAAAAAACCAGCATGTTAAAACCATATTTAATATAATTCAAAATTGAGACATCCCTATCAACTAGTCTGCTAATGAAATACCCACTTCCCTCACTAAAGGCTTCCTATAAATATTTTTGACAAGCTTTGTTGATATGAGATTTGCTTCAACTTGGATGTAAATTAAACATGCCTAATGTAACAGAATTTGTCTTTTGATTTCCCTTTGTACATGCTACACCTTTTTTTGTAACATGCTTTACTAGCAGCATGTGAGTAACAGGACCAGATCATATTTATCTGTTTTATATTTACAATCCAGCATACCTGGAGAAGGTCTGAAGTGCCTGTTATTTAAATAGCAAACCATATACTTTACTATACTTCTAGCAGCTTGTTAGTATTTAGGAAAAGTAATCCTGTTTCAGTGAGTCACAAAATTCTGTGATAATGTCTGTAGGACACACTGTCTAATTTGGATACAGGGCTTTATTTTCTAATATACTTGGTTTTCCCACAGTTCGGTAGATGATGCTGGGTATTTTGACAGTTTCACTTAATGCAGAAATTTGTGGATTTATTTTTGTGGTGATTAACATTTCACAACGTAACAGTAATAGAGACTGAACTATGTTTTACCTGTGACAATAAACCAGGCCTGAAGGCCAAATGTGTCCCATCTCTAGAAATGATGGAATTCTAGATTATCAGTGTACATCTTGTTGCTCTTCCTGCTTTTATAGAATGATTCCAAGCCATTCAAGAGTGGTCTGGCACCCTTTAAATCATTTTACTGCCTGAATTCTGGCAATGAGGTCTCTCATTCATACCTGCACACACATGCAGTTATTGCCTATAAACTGCAAAGCAATGACTTACAAGCTGCATTCTCAACAACCTGTTGCTATTTTGCAACAAATCAAATAAATTGGACTGCTCATCTTAAAAATCAAGGAGTGTCCCTTACCTTTCTCTAAGGTTTGTGTGTCTTTTTTTATTTCGTCTAAAGGCATGCAGCTATTATCAGTGAGAAACAATAGATCAGGATCATGGGAAGGAGTTTCTAAGTGTCTGTAGACCCGAAAGAAGAAGGATATTTAATAGTTAAAATCTGGCATTTTTTTAAACAAGTTTCATATGTTGCTGTGTATGTTCATTAAAAAACCTGAGCACAGGTATGAGTGGAATCAGAAAAGAGTTGGAAAATACTAGATTTAATTTTTTGTCAAAATTAGAGTATACACACACACATATTCAGTGGATGGCCGCAGAAAGTCAGATGAAGGTAAAGGAAAACAAAGTGGGTCTGACTGCTAGTCAGAATTATTTCTATATCATTCAGTGGTGATGATGATGGTATGAATTTTGAGACAGTATGAAACACTAAACATACTGCTTTTATGGACTTTCCAACATAAATTTATCACAAATTAGATAGTAGGATATACTAATCTTTTCTGTCAGGGTGACCCAGTGCTGTAGCAATGTGGATTTCTGCTGCCTTGTGCAACTTTGTTCACTGGGGTTGGAAGAGGTGCAAGTCAGTGGATCACCTTCTGGGTGATGACATTGAAAGTGGTTTCTTTTGCTGGGATTTGGTTGCTTTCTTGGTAAAAGGATAAAACGTTTTCATGATGTAATGGGAAGGAAAAACTTTCCTGGCCAAGTATTTGTCTTCTGAAGTAGACAATGGTGTTCATCACTGTAACAGCTTGTAGTGGCTTTTAGGTTTGCATATGAGGTTAGTATTTCGAACTCATTATTCTCACCTTGGAATGTGGTGTCTGTGTAGCCAGATACTGTCACTTGTGCAGTTCCCTTTATCTTAACACGTCTGCTGCCTGACTGCAAGTTACCATTCACACTGAAATCTGCCTCTGTTCCAGCATCTTCAATCCTGAAGAGAGAGAAGCGGAAGAGAACAAAGAATGTCCACTTTAACTGTGTTACTGTGTATTACTTCACGAGAAGGCAAGGCTTCACCAGTGTTCCCAGCCAAGGAGGAAGCACGCTGGGAATGTCCACTCGCCACAACAGCGTGCGCCAGTATACCCTGGGGGAGTTTGCCATGGAACAGGAGAGGCTCCACCGAGAGATGTTGAGAGAGCATCTAAGGGAGGAAAAACTCAATTCTCTAAAGTTAAAGGTAAAGCTTGTCTAAGACTTTGATCTCTGCCCTAATTTAACTGAACAGTGTCAGAGCTATAGGGGCCCAAGGTGTGTGTGTCAAACAAAACAATCACCTTCTATGAGCTCCATTTTTAGTTGAAATGGATGTTTTCCTGGAGTTTTCTAATTTTACTGAAGATGCATTTTACTTGGTTATACCCAAGTGCTCTTGTAGTTGTCATTGTTGTGCTCCTCCAAGTGCTTACAGGGAGGTTGTTCTTTACTCCCTGTTTTCTGCAGAGTGGTGGGAGTTAGCCCTGAACAAGGTGTCCAGCAGAAGTCTGGAAGTGCCAGGAAGAGAATGAGTCTTCTAAGCCCAATGGCCTATTAGAGAAAGGAATGGTAGCATTATTGGTACAGAAAGTGAAAGAGCTTAGTTTCTTCGCTGACTTGAGTGAATTTGGGAAAAAATAAGAAACGGTGATACTAAAAGGTTTTTGTTTTCAGTATACCAATTTTTGTGATCATGTGTCTATGCTATTTAACCAAAGAATGTCCATTAAAGAAGAAATGTGTCAGATAAATTAAGCAGCTATATCAGTTTAGCTAGTCAGAACAAATCCTGGCTAGTTTTCACAAGATCACAGATTGGAAGGGACTTCTGGAGATCATCTGCTCAACAGCCCCCACCAAGGCAAGGTTCACCTGGAGCAGGTGACATTGGCATGTATCAAGGTGGGTTTTGAATGTCTCTAGAATGTCTCTAGAGAGGGAGGCTCCACGTCCTCCCTGGGCAGCCTGTTCCAGCGCTCTGCCACCCTCAGTGTAAAGAAGTTCTTCCACATGTTGAGGTAGAATTCCTTGTGTTTAGTTTGTGGGCATTGCACCTCATTGCTCTGCTGGGCACCACTGAAAAGGGTCTGACACCAAGCTCTTGGCAGCCCCTTTGAGATACTCATGTGCATTAATGAGACCCCCTTTCAGTCTTCTCCAGACTAAACAGGCCCAGCTCTCGCAGTCTCTCCTAACAAGAGGGATGCTTCAGACCCCAAACCATCTTTGTGGCCTCCACTGGACCCCCTCCAGTAGCTCCTTGTCTTTCTTGAACTGTGGAGACCAGAACTGAACACAATACTCCAGATGTGGCCAAACAGAGGAGCAGGATCACCTTCCTCAATCTGCTGGCCACACTTCCTTTGATGCACCCCAGGATACCTTCCTGGGGCCAGCTTCCCAATAGAGCTGTCCTTTTGAATACAACATAGGAAAGAAACTCTGTATTTGAGTAAAGGAGAACGGGGAAAGGGATTGTGTTCCTTCTGCTGCTTTAAAACTGGTGGCAGAACATCTGGTTTTTTGAGTCATGGATTGTGTTGCATATATTTTTGACTCTTTTTCAGATGAATCCTGTAATTAAAAATTAACAATATTTAGAGCTGTAACTGAGCTTCTGTGCTGCATATCCCCTTCTTTTGTGATACTACATCTCTGTTTCTATAGTTGTGCAGAACAAAGTGGCACCCTCTAAGTTTAAGAAATGCCTTTAAGCATTTTTTCCATAGAGTGAGCTATGAATGCTTTGTCTCAGGGCCTGAGGAAGTGTGCATGATCCTCACTTTTGTAATTAATTTTTTCAGTCTCCTAACTGTTTGGGGTTTTTTCGTAGCTAAATAGATTATTAAATAAATTCATAAGGTCTTAAACTTTGAACTGTCATAGAACAAACATAAAACCACTCAGGATGGAGGCAAATCAAAGACAGATATATGGACAGGTTGGAAACCAAAGGCTAGTAGAGTGTTACTGACTTATCCCTTGATAGAGGTTATACCTGTAACATCTCACATCACAGGAGTTCCAGAGCATCAAGTGTGAATTGTGCTGTGTAACTGATGACTAGCTGTAGATCCCTTGGCTGACTTCCAGGAATCAGCTCAAAGAGAGGAATCCCCAGTGGAGTGAGTGAAGAATAGTCAAGCACACAAATATTTCACTTTCTTAGCTAGAAAGTAAATCAAGGAAAATCACAGATCTTATTTACCTTGAGAGAGTAGATGAGGCCTTTTAGTCTTTATGCACTGGAGCTTGGCTCTTCATCCTTTCCTAACCCTCCTCTTGCCTGGGATGTATCTCCTTTCTTAATTAACTTGTTTTGCTTCTGCCCTGGCTGTTCTGGGGACACAGACCATACTTTCTGCTCATTTTCCAAATACATATTTTTCCATCTTCCCAATCATTTGTTTCAGTGGATGATTATTAAGATTATTAAGTTTCTGCAAAAAATCTTTGTAAGTATTCAGTGAATAAGGAGAGGTTTTTCGCATTCCTTATTTTCATTTTGCTGGTGTTAAACTTTTACTAGAGTGAAATATTTATCTTCACCTGGAGCATAAAAACATAAGCAACAGAAATCTTCCTGTTTTAACTAGTCCATTAACCTCTGTTTAGTTTCATCCCTGATTATGTGCTTGGGTTTAAAAAAAAAAAAAAGAAAATTTCAACCATGAAAAGAAAATCCAGGACCTGCTGAATTAGTGAAGAGTCACTGTAAAGCACCAAGCATGTTTTGTTTGCTTAAGAAAACTGGGCCTTGCTGATTGTTCATTACAGGGATGGAAGAGCTGCTTGGTCATTCACATCGTTTCTGAATGAATAAAAAAGGAAATGTGGCATTCTGAGGTGACAGTGTTAGCAGTTATGTCAGCAGAACTATTATTCATTTAATGAAAATGTGCTAACCAGAATTTGCATAAAAAATTACTGTATATCACAGAAAAATGAAGAAAATGAGAAAATGGAGTAGAATGAAGTTTAGTCAGAAGTTTTTCTATTTGAAAACCGTCTGTAAATAGCAAGTAACATTTTCAGTGTGGTTTTTAATTTCAGTTTCTCTAGGAATTTTTTTTAATTGCATTAAAATATACAAATCAGTGACTAGGAAGTATTTGCTCCTGTAGAACCTCTTAAAAAAAGATAAAAATACAGGAATGTATTGAAATTGAGTTTCCATAATATTAGGTACTGTTTATTGTTTTTGTTGCTAAAAGCAAAGGGCCAAATAAGAAACACCTCTAACTAAAAGCAGATAAAGGCTGTGAAATAATCTTCAAGTCACTTTGGCCATTTAGTACCAGCACTTTTATGTAAACAGTGCTGACAGGAGCATAAACACTTATTATCAGCAGAGTGTGAAAATTCTGGATGTAAAAGCCATCTTATCAAATGAAAGGTACAAGGTAATCATTTGAGAGAACATGAATAAGCACAAAAAATTCCCTAAGAGAGTTCTTTTGCTTACTCATAATGTCTCCTGAAATTAACATGATTAGCATGAGACCAGTGGTGTTAAGGCTCCCTGGAACAGTAGGTTCCCTTTGTGGGAAGTTATAAGGAATGACTTCCAACTAGGGCAAGGCAGGGATGTCCATCCTGCATTTCCTATTTTACTGAGTGGGACTGAGTTTCACCCAGAGGCTTCGCATATTCATTGGTCTTTGTTCTGTGGTTATGACATTGACCTTTAGATTTATGAGGAAGTTTACCCATCTACTATCAAGTTGAATTCAGATGAGCAATATTGTGACAATCAAGAGAGCTCAATGTTCCTCTGAAGTTCTGGAAAATGTATTTGGTAGTTTGTGATAGTCTTCCCCCCTCTGTAGTTACCCAGTTACTTTTTTGAGAAATTTTAGACTCTTTCCTTTTATCAATTCATTTGTTTTTTGTGTGGCAAAATGGAGGGGAAAAAAAAGTTAAGAGGTGACAACAAGGAAATCATCCTGGCAAAGGAGTCAGGAGCTGAGGTGCTTTGAAAGGCAAACTGCTGGCTGGTGGCACACGTTTGATGTTCCAGCCTGCGGGATGCACATGGCATTCAGCACATCCCTGGAGACCAGTCCCTAACGCTCTACTGCTGTGGAGCAAAGTAGTTAAGATTTGCAGGAGGAGAAGAAATATGTAACAGGATTGGAATGGTTCTGTAGGTGCCTTTGTGTGCTGACCAGTTACAGCATTTAGAGTAAGAGCCCTAAAAGTTAATTTTTATTAAACAGTAATTGAATAAAATAGTAAATTAATTAGAGGATCAGAATTTTTCTCCCACCACAGTTTCAAACTTAGATTTAATAACAGTGATCTGCTTAAGGAGTGGTTTGAGCCTTGTGTATATAAAACTAGAAATCAGATTTCTTAGGTAGGTCATTCCCCTATTATATATTAAACAAACAAACAAATCAAAGAAATATAAATACACTCTATTTAGTTTTACCTTGCTAACTTGCATAAAATGAAAAGATATAACCAAGAATGCAATTCTGGATTGAAGTATTCAGGCTGAGTTTGTGTATGGTGAGATATTAGCTTCAGGCAGCTAATTCAAGATGCATTTATTTAATCCCTGTGTGGATTTACCTCTCCCTCTCTCTCTCTCTGTAATGTACAGGAAAAAGGATGATTTCTAATGTTCTTTTTCCTACCTTACTGAACTAATACGTTGAAATACCTGGTGTAAATTATCTCCCATTGTCCCAGGGCCAGGCAGAACTGTTCAGGGAGCTATTACCCCCTCTTTTACCAGTGTAATGTGACATGTGTAACAGAAAATGGAGCAGTACATGAAATATACCATTTCACAAACCTGCGATGCATCATGATCTCAACCTATGTCAGTAGTATCATTGCTATCTCAAAAGGGATATTTAAGAATTTCAGAGAGCTCAGAGACAGGAATCAATTAAGGTCTCAAAAATTATCTTGTGACACAATACAGAAAATACTAGATTTCAGAAAGGCATGAAAACTAGCAGCTAATGGCAAACAGTAAATTTAGGTAAATAAAGAACAGATAATTTCTTGCCTTCATTACAAACTTGGTATTAAAAATGTGTTTTTAATTCATATTCTAAATGTGAAAGAAATGCTTGGTCACCCTATCTGTGGTCATTTTCTGGAACTTCTTGGCAGTCATGCAGCTTTTTTACATACAGCTTTGTCGATTGATAATGCATTTCACATACTGACATCCATGACATGACGTACGTGTGAGCGTCGTTTAAGGACTTCGTTAATTGTTCTGTGCAACAGATGACAAAGAACGGTACGGTGGAATCTGAGGAAGCCAATACACTGACTCTGGATGACATTTCTGATGATGATATTGATCTAGACAACACTGAAGTAGATGAGTACTTCTTTCTCCAACCCCTGCCTACAAAAAAGCGACGGGCATTGCTGCGAGCTTCTGGAGTGAAGAAGATCGACGTGGAAGAAAAGCACGAGCTGCGAGCCATCCGCCTGTCCAGAGAGGATTGTGGCTGTGACTGCCGTGTGTTCTGTGACCCAGAAACTTGCACCTGCAGTCTTGCAGGCATAAAATGTCAGGTAAATGTCTACATTATTGTCATTATTTAATTGTTTGGGGAGGGGGAAGGTTATGTGTCTGTGTACACGTGCTTTTTTCTGTTCTTGAAGTTATAACTATTAGAAATTAAGTATTAGGCAATAACACTTGTGGATGTCCAACCTATTTTTTAAGTCCCTAAGGTTTTATAGTGGGCAGTCAATACAGTGTCCTAAAATATCTTCAGTATGATTTTAGGCACATACATGTCTTAGGGTATTTTTTTTTGCTCTTACACAAGTATTCTGCTCCTCATACTCCTTTTAGGTCTTTATCTAAATAGGCAGATGGGGACAACAGAAAAATAAGTAGCCTGCAGCTTTCAGAAGGGATATTACCTTTTATTTTAGAAACAATTAGCAGACACTCCAAATGTGAATTACAGTCCAAACTCCATGGGAAGCAATAAAAGACATTCTGTGATGCTGTCCTTTATGTAACATGCATGATACTTAAAATCTGTGCATGAAAAATTTGCATGTATGCAGTGAAAAGGTATCTGCTAATATAGCAGGTTTTTCCTCTGCAGACTGAAGAGGTATTTCATATTGTACATTTGTATAGTGTCAGCTGTACATGTCCCAACATATTCCCTAAAATATATTTCTGCTAGTTCTGCTGAGTTGCTGTTGTGCAGCTGAATTTTCTTCCTGAATGCATTTTTCATCATCTCATAAATCCAAGCTAAACTTTCTCTGCTATTTTAAATAATGTAGTCTCTTTGCTGTTCCTGTTTTCATCTCCACACGTGGGGAAGATGTACTGCATTGTGCTGTGTGGTTCTCCTGCACATATTTGATGTTTAGGTGTTACAGTGCAGGTGAAAGTCACAGACCTCAGGCTGCCTAATCAAACTTGCCAATGCATGGATTCAGTCACATTTTCAAAAGTTTAAGGTATTAGATGTAGAAGTTCTGTGCCTGGTCTTACAATATTCCATGTAGAATTGACTGGATTACCTTTGAAAATGCACTTGAGTTTTTGTTTGTGTTTTCAGAGATCAGGTGTCCCCACTGGTAACTTTTTAAAGGTTTTTGTATACCATTAATTTTGTTTCAATGGGTCGCTAGTTTCCATTATTTTTACCAGATTTTAAGGTGTTTCTGGTAATGCTTTTGCCTGGATTTGAGCACAAAATGAAGTAAAGCTAAAGCAGATAAAGAAAAGCTACTTATTTTTTGTTCCACTGTGTCATACTTTCACCTATGGAACAATAGAATAAATTTTCCCTTCTTTGCAATAGTGGAGCATGTCCAGGCCCCTTACTGTTCTCTCAGTGCTGCTAAACTCCAGGGCTGACTCCCTGAATGTTTGTTAGCTTTGACTTATTCTACCAGCACTTCTCAAGGTGAATCCCACTTCACCTTTGTATTTCTCTAGGCTGTCTAGGCTCTGTCGTGTCACCAGGCTTTTGCTTCCTATTGTTAATCTGTATTCTCTTTTTTAAAAGGTGGATCGTATGTCTTTTCCGTGCGGTTGCACTAAAGAAGGGTGTAGCAATACAGCAGGTAGAATTGAATTTAACCCTATCCGTGTACGGACTCACTTCTTGCACACGATAATGAAACTTGAATTGGAGAAAAATAGAGAGCAGCAAGTTCCAGCACTCAATGGCTGTCACACTGAGATAAGTGCACACAGTAGTTCCATGAGTCCAGGACCCCATTCAGCTGAATATTCGATTGCAGAAAATTTTGAGATTGAAACTGAACCCCCGGCTACAGTTATGCATTCCCAGTCAGCTGAGGACTTGGACTGCCCAGGGGAAGAGGAGGAAGAGGAAGATGGGAGTAGCTTTTGTAGTGGAGTTACAGATTCTAGTACTCAGAGTTTAGCCCCTAGTGAATCAGATGATGATGAAGAGGAAGAGGAAGATGAGGAGGAAGATGAGGAGGAAGAAAAAGCAGATGATTTTGTAGAAAGTATGAGCTCCCATGCTGATATGGTGCCTCTTCCTTCTGTCCTTTGCTACTCTGATGGAACTGCTGTGCATGAAAATCACTCTAAAAATGCCTCATACTATACTAACTCTTCAACTCTGTATTACCAAATAGAGAACCACGTTGCTGGCACTGCTAACCAGATCGGTGAGACTTACTCAGAAAGAGATGCTGTCAAGAACGGTAGTCTTTCTCTGGTGCCTTACAACATGACTTCAGAACAGTTTGTTGACTACACACGGCCATCAGAGGAAACTTTTAGCAGCCCTCATTACCCTTCTGCAAACCCCTCAGTGATTGTTTGCTGCTCATCTTCTGAAGGGGATGGCAGTGCTCCCTGTAACAGTTTATACACTGAGCATAGGCCAAGTCACCCACCAGTGGAATTTCACTCATACTTGAAAGGTCCTTCTCAAGATGGCTTTGTTTCAGCTTTGAATGGTGACGGTCATGTGCAGGAGCACCCTGCTGAGAATTCACTAAACCTCCCAGAGAAGAGCAGACTGCACGAAGAGTGCATCAAATCACCAGTGGTAGAGACGGTGCCTGTTTAAAATTAAATTGTTCTAGGACTGACTTCCTGTGTTAAAATTCACTCCCATTGGATTTTCCTAGAAACTTACTTTTTTAAGAGGTAGAAAATACTTGGACTATAGTCAATGTTCCAGACACATTTTGTTTTCTCAAGCTACACTGGCAGTGGTATTGCACAAAACCAGTTAATGTAAAGATATAAATAAAAATAATCAAGCCTTTTTTTTGATAAAAATAAAACAGATAAGTAAAAAACACACCCAACATATTTCAAAGTAGCCTACCTATGAACGTATGTGAAACCTGCCAAGCTATCTGAATCAAAACTTCCTGTTTTTGACTGTCGGGCCTGTGCAAGATTGTTAAAAATGATACTTTGAAATAATCATGTTTAGAGTCCTAATTTTCAACATATCTAAAAAGATGGTAAGTTTAATGTAAAAATAACTACTGTACAAAAAAAAAGTTTTAATTGTTCTGTACTGTTTGTATTTTATTTATGGTAGTTTAAGATTCATGTTTTGATAAAAATGAACAGCATGTTCATTTGAGCAAAAGATCCATAGTTACTTACGAAGAGCATGTCCACTTTTCATCTGGAGTACCTTGTATTCTTCCTTATTTTTTCCTAATACTATTTCTGATAAATCATCTTGAAACACATTTTTAGAGTGTACTATTTTTCTCTTTTACTGTTCTTGACAAACAGAAGAGTCAGAAAGGGGGCATTTACATCTTCTAGAATAGAGAAAGGTAGACAATCCTCCATTTAAAACTAAAATCAGTGGCATTCCAGAGCCAGTACCCCCTCCCCAAAGAAAAATGATCTTGTATATAATGGCAAAGCAGTAGCTTAAGCTCACACAGCACCTTCAGCCCAGCCGCCATTCAGATCCTTACGCACTTTAGTGCCACTTTGCAGTACTGTACGAACTGCGGGAACTGTGAACCTCCTCGGAGAAATGCCATAGCTCCAGACCCTGAGGCCATGTAAGAGCTTCAAATCCACTGTAACAAAACCCGTATGTTTCTCCCAAGCCAGTTTATGAATATGTCAGTATGCAATTTATAAAAGCAGAGCCTTACTGATCAAAGTTTAAATAAAGCATGGAAAAAAAATGTGGAACTGTCTAGATTGCCTAAATTTTTCTGATATACAAGACTGGCTTTTGTGGACTTCTGATTGTATCTCAAATTTATTACCATTTGGTCTTATTAGGAAACAATCCATTCAGTGAGGAAAAATAGTAGAAAATTTTGTATCTACAAAAGTCTGCAAGCAAAAAAAACATGTGCATCATATGGATATCCATTACATTGTGATCCACTTGTTTTTAAATGAAATGGGAATGAAACTAATTTGTTAAACAACCTTGCTTTTGTCTAGAAAAGGAGGCATAGGAATCAGCTTTTCTCTGCACTGGTAATTCTGCACTGCCTTATTTTGATTTCAAAATCTATTTCAGTATTTTTATTCTTCTAATACTGAGATTTCATTTATTATACATCAAATAGTTGAAATGTAGGCCTGTCTTGTCTGTCAAAATACAGATCAGCCTCTTAGTTTTTATCTGTGTCAAATCTAGATGGTTAACAGTGTGCATGTAAACACAGTGTAAATTTTATCTCTGTAACAGTGATTCTTCTGGTTAGAAGCTCTTTAAAACATCATATACAGTATTCCAGTAGAAAAACTGCCGATGTAAAATACGCTTTTCAAAAAAAAGAGCTAACTTAATTGTTTTTATATGAAATCTGGGCAAAGTGATTTCTCGTACTTATGCTAAATTAGCAAAATATTTTTACTCCATGTAGTAGCTGGAAGGATTTTTTATTTACTTGTTTCCACAAGAAGTCCTACATGTTTTATATGAACTGCATTGAAAAGTCTAGTTCTCCAGGGATTGGATTCCAAACTCGCAACGCATTCCATCTCCTGGGAAAGCGCACTCATGTTGGTTATCTGGCCCAGCAGTTGCACAGCCTCTGTTCCTCGCAGTCACAGACCGCTCTAGTCTCTTCCTCTAAGGCTGAGTAGCCAGGTAAGTGCCTGTGTTCTCCAATGCCATACAGCAAATACCCACGATTTTTAAAGAGAAACGTGCTAGTCCTTAAAGTTCTGCACTTAAGAAGAAATTATTCTGTTCAAAATATTCTAAGGGCAATTGTAACAAGTCTCTGTGTATATAGGGGTCTTGCTTTAACAGCGGGCTTAAATTAGGCACTCCCTTAACACCAGCACCAAAAGCACAAATCTTTTCTGCTTGAGCTGGGACAGTAGAGGATCAGTAGTGGCTCTAACTCAGAGTGTGTTGGAGAACCACACACTTCACTGGGGTATTTCTCTCAGGGGAAAGTTAAATTAAGTCTTCTGCTTTGTTATTCATGCCCTTACTGAGCAATAAGAAATTATTTTCTTGGCCCCTGTGCTTTCACATGAAAAATATCTTTAATAAGATCAGCAAGCACAGTAAGTGATCAACTTTATAAAATACTTCTCAGCTAGCTTTAAATATTGAGGTGATGGTTATTTACTACTTACATTGGCACAGACTTCTGATCTAGAGTAGGAATGTGAAATCAGGTGAGAGTCATGTTTCCCATCACTTGTTTAAACTTTGATTTATTTTTTAGAACAAAAAAGCATACTCTTCATTTAAGGAAAAGCAGGCTTAAGTCATGGGATGGAAAATATTTTAGTATTATTTTCTGGGCTAGTATATACATGTATTAACATGCTGTGTCCCATTTCCCAGCTGGTTAACATTCATGTTGATAACCACTCCTTTCATTTTGGGTAGGCTGTTTCTGTGTGATAAAAGTATTATGTTACTAAATGATAACCAGCTTCTGTATCTACATAGTGTATTATTTGTGAAAATAGCTATATTACTCGTAGTCTTTATCAGCTTCAGTTCCAAGATATCTGGCTACTGATAAACACTCCTAAGAAGCCCGGTATATGTTTGTGATTATATTGTATCGTTCACAAAAATGAGTAATAACAAAGGCATTTCCCTTTCTTGAAACAAACTGGAATTTTCACAGAGACCATTACTGGAACAGCACCTAAAAGCAGATGCCCTTTTGCCTATAAGGTGAACTTCACCTCTCTTGGAAAAAGGTGCATTGTTAAATACATATAAAGCTTTAATTGATGTTAGACATGAAATTAGAATTTCACTGGCACAATTACATGGCACGATTACAGCAATTGCAATTGTTGCTTAAGAGCTATAACTCACGTCCATTGAAACATCCTTAAAATTAAAAGCTGGTCAGTAGGAGCTTCTAATATTCTTTGTTGAGCCATATGCCACTTAGATCAGAAAATTTTAGATTTGTAAAGCTTTACAGTTTTTCATTTACATAAGTTCCTGCTGGTGATAATTGGAGTTGACATTTATTTTAAGGCCATTGGTTCCACTCCATAGTAACTATCACTTGCTATAGATAAGGTTCAGCTGCCCCCTGCTCTGTTAACAGTGGGATCCTGTCCTTGGTCCAAGTGCTGCAGGACTCCTGTGTGGTATTAGTGGTGCTGTTACTCACTAGATTGCTGACTGATCCCAGGCCAGATCCGATTTCTAACCTGATCTGGCTGTTTTATTTCAGTAAATCTGCTAATAAACTGATCATGCTGCTTTCCCTGCCTGCCAGGCAGTACCTTCACAAACACAGCTGCTTTGTTAAAGATCGTATACATATATTTGTATGCAAAACTGAGCACGTATAAAGGGTTTTATAAGTTCAGGTGTTCCTGACAGAAATGTAATACACTAGATAGTACTGGGCTCAGACAGAGGAGACTTTGCCTTTGTCTTGTTGTGTCATCTTGTTTTCTGTGCTCTGGTTTGTAATGTAATTGGAGATACTGTGATAAAACATAATTCTATAGAACAGGTAAAATACCATTTTATTCTCATGTTTTGGCATCATAACTAAATTTTTGTACTGCAGACTATGCCATTTTCCAAGTTAAGCCCAGCTAAGGAGTGACCAGAAATTTTTCAGTAACATGAAAAACAGCTGAAATGAGCTCTCCTTTCCTTAGACTGGATTAATGAGCAGAAGTCAAAAAGTAAATTTCACAGTGAAAAATTAGACTAAAAGCTGTGTTGAATATACAACATTTACCTGTCTAGTGCTTAACATTTGAGCAGCAAGATTGTAGTTTTCCTGCAACACCATACTTTGCAGCAACAAGCAGTCTTGCTCCTCTGCATGTTGTCTTCTTTTGCCAGCTGAATTCTCTCAGTTGAAACTCCTTGTCTAGGCTGCTCCTGCAGCAACGCAGGTGTTCCTACTCAAACATAAAGCAAGACAGACTCATGATACCCTTTTAAAAGGCATTTGTTAAATAAGGGCACTGTTACAGCTGGTGAGTTTTATAAACTGATGTTCATTGTGCCAGTTTTATTTCCTGAAATGGTCAGGAACAGAAGAGGATGATACAGAAAATCCTTAAGCATTTGTGGGTGTTATGCTTTCTTGCTGAAACTAAAGACTAATTCTATCATCTGCTTTATTACAGTTGCAGGACAGTTGATGTAAAATACTTTGAAAATCTAGAAGTAACTCAGAGAATATATTCTATAGAATTTATTTCTAAAATACTAAATGTGATTACTATTTTTTTAAAATGGTAGAAAGCTGTTATTTTCAAAACAGAGTCTAGTTCACTTACGTGTTCCCTGGTATGAGAAATCTCAGCATTTGCCTTTTCAGTGTTTCAAAGTTTTTTTAGTGTTCTTAATTTTGCTTTTCTCTGTAATCATTGTCCATGTGCAAATTATTGTCCTTTTTCTCCAAGAAGTGTCAAATCCAAAGTACAAATACTGTGAAGTGATGAAGAAGTGCAATGTAGTTTTAAAGATGTCTGAGTGAACAAAGGCTTTTCTTGACAAGTGTTTCCTTTTCACTGTCTCTTCCTTCCCCTAAATGCAAGGCAGCTTTTAATTTCAGGCCTAACAAAAGAGTATAGTTTCCACTTAAGGAGGACTTTTCTTTTGACTCTTTGAGGACTCTTCTGCTATCCCAATAGCTGATACCCTAATAGCTGATTTTACTTCGCATGAACATCCACTTTATGAAACACCTGTTTTGCAGCCTTAGTATTTTCTTTTTAGTTCCTTCTTTCCTGTTGGTGTTTGGGAGGTCTGTTGTACAGTAAGACTTCATTAAAATCAAGCACAAGGGCAACTGTACTGTCCTTTGTGCTGAGAATGAGATCTTGAAAAGCCAGGTTGGGTGGGGTTTTGAACTACGTGATCTAGTGGCTGGCAGGGGCAGTGGGGGTTGGAACTAGATGGTCTTCCAGGTCCCTTCCTAACCAGGCCATTCCATGATTATATATTTTGCCTTACTGCTGTCTTTCAGGTTAGGCAGACACCCACCCCTCAGAAGGTCCCACTGACTGCAGAACCATATTCTTGGTGCTCTGTGTTGCACCTTCTCAGTAGAGATCATAGTCCTTCATCCAAGGATGGGGGTAGAACAAAAAAAAAGCCAAAAGGTAGATTTTGTACGTTATTAACACAATTATTTTAATTTGGAGCTTAGCAATAACACACCTCTTTCATGAATGAATATCCAGTAGACCCAAGTCAAAAAAAGTTTGTCTCTCATGCATGTTCTTCTCTAACTTCACTCTTCCAACAAAT